GAAATCGAACGTACCCAATCATGTTACTGAAAACTTCTTTCTGGGTCTCACTTTCACCGTGGACTGCGTGCGCATCTCACGGTAACTAGCGCACTTCCTTCTCCTGCGTAATACGCTTCACCCCTTTGGTAACCACCGCAGCCACACATGGACCCTAAGTCGAACGAAATTTTCCTGCTACTGCATCCGAAATAGAATCGATTCTCTTTATGAAGGCTTGGTGCTTGTTCGTTCCTTGCCGTTTGCTTTAGTCCAAACGGGAAGATAGCGTCCGTTTTCTGACGGTCTTGTCTATGGCCGCCATGAAATAGCATTTGAATAGTATACGCCCCTTGATCTCCCTCCGGTGCTTTTACATCGCTATCCCCTGTACAATAGTCGTTCTCCATTACCACGATTGTGTAAGAGAGTGCGGCGACTTAGCCGACACGCGGGCCGACCTTTGAGTCTAACACTGCTCGCAATTCGAAGCTCGATTCTCGATTCCGTTGGGTCTGCGTCCGCCCCGTCGGACGCTTAGCTACGACTCTATCCGGATCGCTCGACTTGCCCAAGATCGTGTGTAAGAGAACGGTTCTTAGCAGTCACGCAGGAGGCTTCGCGAGCCTTTATGGCCCTCTGTCGTCGTCTAACCCAATTTAATTTTCAACTTGGCCGATGGATGGACTACGGGCAGCTAGGCTAGTTGCAGGTCCAGAATGGGGCCCCTGTTTGAGATTACAAGAGAAAGAGAGGGAGGGGTAGTGAAAACGAATCCGAAAAAAAAGCTCACGGAACTGAATTCAGAGGAAATTCGAGAGTGTAAATCAATGCAGACCTCCGCTGCCCATTTGAACAAGCCTTCGTAACGTCCCCTTAGGTAGTCCATAAAAGGGGGGGGGGGGGGGCACTCATCGATCGGTCTTTATGGCTCTGTGCGGCTGTATGCTTCAGCTGCATGCATTTGCTGACTCTTTTGATAATGCTAGTAAATAGGAACGTGTTCGTGTACATTTTGGTGCTTTACCCATACGCCGCCCATTAAACTGGCCCCTGAAGAGTCAGTTAGCGGCTACACACTTTGTCGCTTAAACCGGCTTTTCTAGCGTGTATTGAGTTTTTTGGTTGACTACCTGTCGTTGACTTGCTGCCAAAAATTTAGCAGCTAATATGTGTACACGCGAAGATCAACTCTCGCTATAAAAAGAAATCCTCCACTCACTCAGCCCCTCAAAATTGCCGTTTAGAGCTAGATTTCCTGCCTTCTACGGTTTCGTTAGACTTAAAGGTGGGCCTCTCCGTTGAGTACAGAGCTGGCCATACTTGACTAGAGTGATTTAAAACCCGCTCTTTGCTCTTCACTGACTCTGCTCTCTTGCGTTAGGCCACTTCGTCGCGTTTCTTCACCGAAGGTTTGATTGCTGCTTCTTCCGATCTTTTTTCTCTCGTTCTCCATAGGCGACGTGGGACGAGCCAATACCAATTCCAAACCCGCCCGGTAGCAGCAGCTTTTTCAAACAAGCTCCAGTTTTCTCTTTTTTATACCTTCATGGCGACAAGCGAGTGCTTCCCAGCAAAACAAGCTCGATCCGACCGGGCTCATAGAGACCGACACACTCTGATGAAGTGAGCAACGGACGGAGCCACACGTAAAGCGTCGGGGCAACTTGTTCAAAAAAATGTTAGCTCGCTCGTTAGTTTGCTTAGTTTGCTTGGTTGGATAAATCTTTGGATGGTATTTAGGCAAAGAGCGAATCTAATTCAGTCCCTCTTCCACGCTAGCACACTTTCTCATCAACTAGTCTCTCCACAGTTGGTCCGCTTGCGTACTTCAATATTCTTGGTAGGTGCTATGGAAAGAATCCCTTGCCGGTAGTGGTAGCCGAGAAACTAGAAAAGCTCGCTTAAAGGCGCCTACCATTTGGTACACGATTCACTTCACCAATAGCAGTAGAAGCCATCACTGACTACATCCGTTGCGTTTGCACTTTGGCCAACGAAGTGTGCCAGTGGGTTTTGGCAGTATTGCCAACAAGACGTATAGGTCAGCCAACGGACTGGTTAAGGGGCAAGCCTCCGCTACGGAGTTCAACTAAAAAAGGCTGAAACCCTAAAGGACGTTCGGTTACAGCGCTTTATGCCCTGCTTGCGTCTGACTTCTTGCCTCCGTACGTTGGATAAAACCGGAACAGGTCGTAGTCATAATAGCGGTAGTAGTAGTTATATCCTTCTTCCATGTTCATTTAGCTGCCTACTTATGGGTTCGCTCTTTCCCCCTTTAAGGAGAGAACGTTTTAAGCATAGCGCATAGAGAAGATAGCTGAACAGGCAAAAGCTAACCAGATCTCAAGACGGCACTCCAATGCCAGAGATATACATTTCGGACAAACAGAAGGAAAAGAAATGACTGAAACCATATAAGAACGACGTCGGAGGAACTAGTGCTCAGCGATTTCCTCGCAGGACCCTGGTCCGTTCGGACCAAAACTAGCTCCTGTCCATTTGCCTTTCACCGACACACAAGAACTGTGGCTAGAGCGCTGATCTCGCGTCTGCATATCACACATAACCGGCTAAATTAATTTACTCATTCAGATTATACATACAAAGTTCTTCTTAGTGTCGCCTGAAGCTCTGCCACTATTAACGCTATTGCTACACGGCTAAGTGGCGAGCTACAGGAATAGGACCACTCTGCGTCTGTCTTTTCTGCTGCTTCCCGCAGAACTTATCTAAAATTCAACCTGATGTTCTACATACGTTTATATACCCCACGGATGTGTGTCCCAGTTAATGTGGCGTAGTTGTGAAACTGCCATTTCTCGTTTCTACAATGGCTGACGGGATTCTGTGCCTCCCACGTTTCTCTGCAGTCTACCTCACTGTTTCACGGCTGCGTTCAGAAACTTCTGTTCCTTTTCGGTGGCTTCTTTTGTCTTATATTTGGGTCGTTTTTTGCTTCTCTCGGGTTTGGCTCAAGATTAGATCATCTCCAAGCTTCTACTATTATGTGCTGTTCGTAGAAGTATTGTTCCCAGGTTTCCAGAACTAGGTACCTGTTAGCTGCATCGCTAGGCAGCTCTTTCCACTACCACGGCCAACGCAAGCAAAGCCTCTGTACCGATCCCTATCGACCGTAGTAGGCGACTGTAGCCTACGAATTTCGAGCCTACGAAATCCTACTGAGTTGTGGCGTCAGCCAACCAGTCAAGCTGCGAGCCATCCTAGCCATAGCGGCAATTGAGGTAATTTCAGATCCAGTAGTTTGCGTTGCCTATATCCAGCCAGCCGTGGTACGCGTGCAAACGGGTGGCACAAGAAGTTGTGCAGGAATGTGGCCACAGCTAGAGAGAGCCCTTTAGCAATACTGAGGCTGGCAGTAGCAGTAGTAAAATCTGCGCAAGCTGCAGCAGTTGCCAGTACCGAGTCGTGGTAAGGAGACAGCAGCCAGCGAGTAGCGAGATTTATAGCCGCGTGGTTGCAGCCTAGAAGGTCGACGCTCGGCGGCTACGGAAACTGCTACCTGGGTACGTACAAAAGTTAAGGAGAAAGTGACGGTGAAGCAGCTGCCATTGCCGGCTACTCTGCTTCTGCTATTACAGCTGCTACCGTCCGTTTCAGCTCATTTTAATCAGGCTGTAAGTGCCTTCTTACTACGTGAACAAACAGAGCTTCAGCAGAGGGGATAACGAGAAACGAGATGCTGAAATAAAGAACAGGGGCAATGCTCGAAACGTAAACGCGGTGGTGCTGGGAATTTGGATGAGTTAGTAAATCTAAAAGGAATCATGAAATAGTTGCTCCTCACCGCTAGCCGTTCGGAGGTTAGTCGATCTCCGGAGCTGCGCTCCGCTAGCTAACGCTAAAACAACAAGGGTGAAGGAGCTTGTTGCCGAGAAATGCTAGATAAAGAGTTGACCTACGCCCAGCAGTGCGCGCGCCTCTGCGCAGTCTATAGTAGGCAGGCCGGCATTTGCGCTCGGTTTTGTAGATGGCACACCGGGCACCTGTCGATCTGCAGATGGTAACATCTCTATATATAGTTGGAGCACGAGAACTGAAAAGGGGTAGACTGTGGTTTGGAAAGAGAATCCTGTGAGGTTAATCCGTAAAGATTGGTAGTCTGATTTGTGGCAGTGTGACGGACTGCCATTAAGGCGACTCCTTTCAACCAAAACGTTGACTGGGATTTTCATGTTCCTTTACTGGAAAATCGCTCTGACGCGGCCCGCCGTGGAGCCGCAACAGCTGTAATGCATGGTGCTCTGCCTTTAGATAATAGACGAAAGAAAAGAGGCAGAAAAACGCTTGAAATAAAAGTAAAACGATGGAAAAGGATGCATGTAGAAGCCAAAATTGTAAGAATAAGAGTATCATTTCCCTCTGGCTACACAAATACGAGTAGATACAGGGGAGCCGAAACCAGAATAGGAGAGGCAGATCCAACCGGAAGAGAAAAACGGGATTGCCGTTGCTTAAACTGATGACCCGGAAAAGATGTATAGCTGTGATTTTTACAATGAGCATGTCATCCAGTAGAAGCTGCAATAACGACAAGTAACGGTGGAGTTATTCCAACGACACACGAAAATACCGAAGGCGGGACAATTCCTTCCACGGTCCGCCTCTGTCTTTTTATTAAGCCAATTTGGATGAACCTGCAAACAGGCAAACTCACAGACATATGACAAAACGTTGGTAGATAGCAAAAAGTAGCACAAGCGGAAAATAAAAACACGTAATATTTTAGCTTATTGTTTATTACTTACACTGATTGTGCATAGACATTCAACAGGAGTCAAAAAACACGACTTGGAACGCATTAATAATTGCATATTTATGCATTTATACATGGACAGATGTATAGATAGATTAGGATAGATAAACAGAGAGATTAGGATAGATAGATTGCACATTTTACAATACCCTTTTCCTTCTAAACTGCTCGTAGTACACTTGTATGTTTGTATGGTTTTGGCATGTTCTTCCCTTTCACTTCTTTTCATTTGTACAAATTGCAGCGGCGTTAAAAGCTGAAATTCTTCCACGTCGTCTAACGGTCCGATCGGGCGACGACGTGACTGTGAACTGTACATACCGTGGAGGACCCGTTCGCGAAGTACGTTGGTTAAAAGATAACAAGCCACTGCAGAACGATCATCGGGTCCGCTTATTGGGCAGGCTGGTACTACATATCAGCTCGTTTCGACGGGCTGACACTGGCATGTATCAGTGCTTCGTGAATAACGAACAAGATTCGGCGCAGGGCCATGCCTATCTCCGTATTGAAGGTTCGTATAGTTTGAAAGTTCGATTTACGAATGGAACTATACATTATACGTTTTTTAATTTCATTTGTCACCGAAATTTTTTTCTCTTAACTCTGACACTTAGTGGTTCTTGGGTGAAAATGTTGCTAGACTGAAACCTATCTGCGACTTTTGCAAACGTTTACATCCGGGAATATTGTTTAGAGGCGTATGAGTTGTGTCAACACAAATCATATCTAAAGGTATTATTTCTCTAATTTTATGCTTGGGTTACGATTGCTAGGGTTATTTTAAGGGTATTTTAAACTTCGTAAATAAATACATTCGATGTTTTTTAAGGTCCTTTGGATTGCTAAAGTCAAAGCGTATCGTATAGACAGTACTTAAGCAATTTAAATTCGTCAAATGTTATGAATTTAATCCCTTATATTTTCCTATTGTTGGTACTAAACAAACTGAATATAAATATATTTCCTGTTCTCTAGGACAGTCAAGTTAGCCGCGTTAAACCATGTTGCTGACAAAATACTCAGATACATTTGCTAAACAGACACACTACACAAAACGCTCGCACTATTTCATCTATGAATACTAAATTGAGATACTATTGTATTATGCTTATCCGTATGTGATACGTTATATTCGTGGCTTAAAAGCAATATTATATCCTTATAAGACCTATTTTTATTAAGCAAAAAAGTCAAGGGCAGAAAACACTTTCGTCCTTGTTCGGGTCTTCTTTTCTACTAGAAAAAGATCAGGAACACCGAAGGGAGACCTATTGCGCCGGGGATTTAGGTCTAAAAAGAAAGCTATCTATAATCCCATTAGAGCGCAATAGTGATTGCTGGTTTCGGTCAAGAATCGGCTATGCTAGCAACGATTTCCGCAACGTTAGAACTTGCTTAAAATTCTGTGGCCTGGGTGCTCGGCCATTGCTGGTGACCGTTACGTTATCACGGCTCCTTTCTCTCGGACACTACGATAGCGAAACTAGCAACTAACTGAAAGTGCCTGATTTAAAACCCGCTACACTATGACGGCTCCCCATGTCCCCTTCAAAGTGTGCCGTCTACGCACAACAAGCATAGGATCCCTTGTCTGCTGGTGTTCGTCTTTCTTCGTACTACGTCAGAAGGTCCTCGGTCACTCATCCCAGTAGTCTGTAGTACACTATGTACCACCTGAAAGGTATGAACCATAGCCGATCCGAAGACTGCCTCTTGTTTGTACACGATATCGCCCTTACACACCCACTTTTTATCGTCCCGTTCCGTATGGATCTGCAGCTACTGCTGTGTGCGAGGTTACGTACCAAAACTAATTGGATGAGCGAAAGAACGTTCGAATGAGACATCTACTTTATTTCTAAGCTCCTGTCTCGGCTCTGGTCTAGGACATCGACAGGGAGATGATAGAGGAGGATGGAGAGTAGACCCCCCCGCCCCCAACGAAGCCTGAAGATGTCCTGATAACTACTACAGGCGCTCAGTGCAAATAGATAGCGATAATTTAGCGAGTTAATGAAGGTCAGAAATCACTCGCCTAATAACGCTGGCCTGCCTGAGTGTGTTTCATTCAATTCACCCATCGTGTAGCCGCGGTCCTTTGGCACTCGTCCTCACAGGACCAAGAACCTTCTTGAAGTCTGCTTGGCAGGCTCGATGAACCCTCCATCGCGGTGCTTGCGCCTCCTTGATGTCGCCAGCCCCATAGTCTCTATCGTAGCATAAGAGGGAAGCAGAAACGTACCACATGCAGAGGTCACCCAATGCGTATATGAGTAATGGTTGCATGCTAATGGCTCTTCATATCTCTCCGTATGATAGAGAGTTGGGCTAGCTAGTTAGATATGTTGTGGAAATCGTCTTGTCTTAACAAAAACATACACTTGAGATTATTACTGCGCACCGGTACGATGTATAATGAATTTATCTAACACATTTCAGTGTTCATAAGTTAACGAGTTGCACTGCAAATGAAAACTAAATCCAGCTGTGATCCTGAATAATTAGACTAGCTGTAGAATATACCGAAAAAGTTTTTCAAAAATGCTGAAAGCCGGTGCTTTTATATTAGTATATGTAAAATCGCTTGTATCATTGCTGTTGTGTCTCCCGTTGACTTGGCTGTTCTACTGCATTACTTCTCAACATTTGAAGAATCCTCGAAAATCTCAGGTGTTAATAAAGCTTTCGGAATAATCAATGTTAAAGGTAACTATTAATTTCTATAATCCGTGCTCTTACAGAGATTCACCCTACTATTCGGGAAAAGTTTATTGGAGGCAAATTCAAACCACGCAGTGAAATTTCGCTTAAGTGCCAGGCTACAGGCTCTCCACTTCCACAGCTTTCATGGCTGCTCGATGGCAGCCCTTTGCCGGAAACCAGAGACATTAACCAGGGTGATTTTGTCCAGCCCGACGGAGCGCTTGTTGTCAGCTTTGTCAACGTAACATCAATGAAAGTTGAATACGGCGGAGACTACACTTGCATGGTAAGTATTACTTAAAAAGTATTTCTGCACTCGGGCGTACCAACCGAACACTGAATACTATAAGAGCTTCAAGCAAACTATATAACTGCCAGCTTCTCAGATGATTTTGTTTTGAGATATCTATTAGACTGATTTGAGCTAGAGTACCAGCGATTAACTAGTGTTAAGCTAGAGTATAAAAAACAGATAATCTGTAATCCTTTCATTATAAATTAGATTAGTTTAAAGCAGTATTCCAACTTTAGCTCAAATATGTGTGAGAAATTCATATGTGTATGCAAGGGTCTTTTGCTATGCTACCGTACACTCTCTGTTGAAGTGTTTTATTAATAGAATACAATAGTAGGGCAGTTTCATTGGCTATATGTTCGAAGCAGTAAAGAACAGAAATATCTTCACGTAAACAGGACACATGAACCGTGTTTTTCTGATTCTGCATTTCTTCAAGGCGTCTTTCAAGAATATATGTGCTTAATTCCTATATTGACAACGCTATCATTGGAACAAATTTCCAAACGCCCATTCAGAACTTTCTTCTTTCTTCCACTCATCCTATGTACCTAGAACAAACAAATCTTGTGCTTAAGGTCTCTTTAACATACAAAACATATCTATATAAGCATTTGGCATAAATAACATTTAATGATTTGACCGTTTTCCTCTTCGATACCAGGCAACGAACGATGTAGGTACAGCGATGCACACTCAGCGTATCAATGTTGAGGGTGACCCGTACATTAGACCGATGAAGGACATCACAGTAGTTGCTGGCAAGGAACTTAACATCAAGTGCCCGGCAGCAGGCGACGTTGCCTCGATGTTCATTAAAAAAGGTGATTTCTTGCTTGGTTTTGAAAGAAAATTTGAGGCTAGAGATATATCTGGGTCGTAGCGACTCTTATACCGAGGTTTATTATATACACATTTTATAACTAGGTCTTCTTATTAGGTACTGTGCTGAATCAGACTACCATCCGATCTTAAGGATGTTGCCTAAATGGTGCACCTGTTAACTCCATGGGTATACACATATACATACCAAAAAATTTCATCCATTCACTGCCGACACTGAGAGAGTCATCTCAATTTAGACGACGAACGAACGCTATTTCAACCGAGGACCGATACTAAACAATATGCGGGAACCTATCTAATAATGGTGACAATAATCATAACACCGATCCATTTGTGTGGCTTATCTTTATCTTATCGACAAATATACCAGTTATATACATACGCATCAACATATGTCTTCCAATACAATACATCTTTGTACCTGCAATCATAGCCCCTAATGGAATTCACTTGTATTTACCAGTGGGCGTATGAGACGAGTGCCTCCAGAACCCCGTGTCTTGTATAGCCTACATATATAAAGCAATCTTCAAATAATCGACTAACCGCTTACCTTGGCGTAGGGTATGCTTCAGGCTAACAACTTCCATAAAGGTAACCAAGCAAACGATGCAAGCCACAGAAAGCTCCCCTTGCCAAAGAGTGATTAGAGCCGTTCCCGGGCCATATATGATTACTTTAGCTCGCAATTAATTTGTATGATCTCTGCATACAGCAGCTCAACTGCCCCTACCTTTGCTGCCAACACCATGTAAGCACCTTTTATTGCCGCCAATGAGGCAACAGGGCGCAGCGCACGGCCCTGCTGTTTTCTTCTGTGTGCCGGTACTATTAGAACCACTGACAGTAACGACGTACGGATACGTATTGAAGTGCAGTTACTCTCCGGTTGAAGTCCGGGTCCGTAGGTCGTTCGGCCTACGAGCTTCTTCTCTTTTGCTGAGAATAAGTATAGAATTTGTATCTGTATGTACGTGCGTCTATGTGTAAATACTGCTGTAATGCGCGTGTTAGTAGCTAGTAGTGAAGAGCGAGGAGTCTGCGTGCACTTATGGAACGGCTAGCAGTGAGTGTGCCACAGTGATGACGCTCGTGTTACCGGTTGATGTCCAGCTATTAATGGTGTTCAGTTACGTAGCGAGGTTGCTGCAAGCTTATTTGCAAGACAGTGCTGGTTGAGGCGGCGAAATAAAGAAGGCGCTGGCACTCCAACCGCCCTTAAAGAGACGGAGCTTCTGGACAAGTGCGTTCCCGAATGAGGAGACTGGAAAACCATGAAGGGAGAAGGAATTGAACTGAGGTAATCATCAATTCATCGTAAAGGACTTGTCTTCTTTGCGCCGATCTCCTCTAAGTGCGTGCATTTCTCTTTATGTATATGTAGATGTGGTTTATGTTGGTGTCTATATGTCTATACCTACAAATATGATATATTACTCGTATTCGATACGGCTTACCGTTGATAGATCGGTCTTAACAGATCGTGCTGTCTGCTCACATTTGGGCGCTCGAGCAGATAGGGTAAGATATATACTACAGTAAGGCGTTGTTTTCTCTGTGAAAGCACGTGTTGAAAGAAAAAATTGACTTCACCGGTGCTTGGGTACCTGTCGTGTATGACTAAGTAGCACCATTAATTATAGTTAAGTCATATATAATTGTGCCAGTTTTTGGTATACTTAGAAGTGAATGAAGTAAGAAAGGGAAGAAGATAGACATGTTAGGAAGGACGGCATATAAATGCTAGGTTTTAAAAACGAGATGTTCGGCAATGAAATAACCAAATCATTAGCTGATTCGGTGACAAGAACAGGCGGTGCACCTTTTCGATGGGGTATGGATAGCTTCGTCATGAAAGTCGCGTCTTGGTTCTAGGTCTCAAGTTGCAGCTCAAACTTTTACGTTAACGGTGGGTGGTTGTTCGGCAATCTATGTTGAATACAAGAAACACAGAGCTAGGTGATAGCTCAGTTTGCTCTTCCTCCCTTACCCCTTCTCGAAATACCGGAATATCTCCAGAAAGTCATCCGCCAGATATCGACACACCACCTGACGTTTTTCCTTCCTAGTCAACCACTACCTTTTTTAAAGCCTTTCTTCTGCTTAGTTTTTCGACCTATCGGTCGAATCAAAATGGGAAAAGAACATCGAAGGATGTAAGCACTTAGATGTTGGCCGATTAATGGGGAGACAGTCATTGCCCCAGCAAGCAAGAGTCGCAAGTGGCCAGGCATTAAAGAAGTGTACGAAGTTATTCGTAAAGGCGCGCTGAGTTCTAATCATTCATATACAGTTTGATTGACTGTATTTCCTTGTTGCAGCCAGCTCCACTGGTCAAGGGAGCGTCTCAAGGAATTCCGACCTCATGCGCTTTCACAGACACACAAACACTAGCCCCCACATATAGACATTCACAAATGCACACCGACGGCCTCGCGCATGCAGGGATACACACCCTTCCATTTAGACACAAAGGTGCAGTTCTACCAAGAGAAGACGAAATATCGCATAGCTACAATATCGCCGCCGTTTGACAATAGGGAGGATACGGTAAGAATCGCTTGATTTCGATGCCGGGACTGGCGCTGCCTGAGAGTAGACACACCATCCGCCTCGCTGATATATCTAAAATTAGAACAGGAAGTAAAGAGACATTTTCGTTAATTGTGTGCGGTAACCCGGGACAGGTGACTGTCCTCTGGGCACTCCGTTCGTAGCGACGTAAAAGAAGACAGTCAAAGAACCTATCGGTTTTGAGCAGGAAATAACTATGCGAGAGGGGGGAAGCCGAAAGCTGAGGGAATCGAACGCTAACTGAGGCATAGATATATGAAGGTTGCTTTCGCTTCAACCACTATGCCCTTTCCAACTCTTCATGCAGCTCCAATTGAAGAGGTCTGAAATGGAAGGACCGTCTGTGTGCAGCTACTTAATGTTTCCAGGTTCTACTTTCTTTTTGCTATTGGCAAATTTCCCGGTTTCTGCAAGCCGAATGAGTTAATAACAACTGATCCTCCACGTTTGCTGCGTATCATCATATATAGGCGGAAAGTGACAAATTCTCTTTTCCTTTTTTTCGCTTTTCGTATCCTTGTTTACCCATGAATGGAGCGATGCATTAAGAAAGCTGTCTTGTCGGCTCACTAATACCATGTTACTCAAAGCAAAGTTTTCAAGGTGCATGTTCCTGGCTGTTCTAAAGGAAGGGACCATACTAAGATGGCTTCTGGGTAGTTCAAAGGTAGGTTAGTTCAGCTGGCTAACTTTGCTATGTTGTCTGATTTTAGCGAACAACAGAAGAGAAAAGCTAAGGGCTGGAACGGAAGGGCGTGACTAAAAGGGGCAAGAGGACCCAACTAAAATAACAAAGTTTTGCTCAGCCTGCTCCTGTATGCCCGTACAAAGGAAACAGAGAAAAGGGGACGTGCCTGCGGACTCGGTCTTCATTTGAAGCAGAATAGCTTCCACTATTGCCGCGGTCGCATACCAGCAAAAGGCTAGGTCAGAGACCACTGAAGTATAACTGGTGGAATACTACTCGTAAAGCGATCCAGAAGCGCTAGTAAAGCGATCCTCTCCTGTTTTGTTCTAGTCCCGAATAAGACAGCGTATATATACATATGCCGTTTGGCTAGAGTCGGCGCGTCTCTGTGCCTTAGATTGCCGGCTCGTTGGTAGACGCTCGGCTCTGTTTCGACACCATTCCTGGTTGAGATTTGAAACAGCCACTATCCAAAAAAGGCGACTAACCCAAGTAAACGGCTAGAGCAGAAATGGGAAGAGGTTTATGCAAAGCGTTATCTCATAACCACACAACGCCGCACCCATGAGCCCACATGAACGATGCGGTTACGCACCCACAGCACTAGCAAAGAGAGCGAAAAGACACTCCGGCTGCCATCAAACTACCGGCCGTTCAGAAGTAGGATGAGACCAGAGAGGGCGGTAGGCTAGCAAAACCAAGCGGCGAGAGGAAACCCCGATAAGTGGCAGCAAGAAATGCGCCGCTCAAAACGGTTATGAATTCTCAAAAGGACTCTTTCTCCATTTGTGGAAAAGCCAGTGGGAGGAGAAGGAAAAAAGCATGGGGGTTTAGAAGCGTTTTGGTACTCGCGCTGGAGGCAGCCGGCAACTGACACCCCTGGCATCTTTACTGCTACTCCACTTTCCAAGTTGTCTTCGTGTCCGCGTCGCTGGCTGTGCCCTCTGTTTGTCCGTGTGTTAGTGTGTGTCTGTATTCTATGCCGTGGAGCACTACGCCACTGTGATGATATACAACGAGAGACACTCGAGAACCTGATGATGGCGCTATTTGCGTGCTTCTAGCACACTGCACCAAGTGTGCTTTGTTTACAAACTTCTTTAAAGCTCTCGAGAAAGGGACAAAGTTCTTCTTCACGTATTGCGAATCTCACTTTTCTCTTTGAAACTGTGTGCAAACGACTGTTTTCGCGCGCGTACTCGCCACCAACGGCAACATTAGTAGCAGCAGCAGAACCAGCTGGGCTGTAGCAATGGCAACAAAAAAAATTAGAAACGCATCCAGTGCTCGCTTGTTCCAAACGAGAGGGATGTGTGCGCCAACCAAGGCTGTTTTGCGTTAGACGCTGATGACGGCTGTCTTTTTATGAGTCATTTCACGCAGCATTGTTGAGCAGAGTCGGGGAATGAAGCGCGGTCTTGGGTGCCAATGCACGGATGCATGGACCTAGAATCGCTATCAAAAACGCTGGAACCGTGAGACCGCTTCCACGAACGCCTTTCTGTGAAGGCGTGCTGTCGTTGTGATGAAGACTGCTATGGTTGACAATACTGGATTGTAACAACTCTGAAACGAACGAGACTTAGTAAGGACCCAAAAACGAAGTAGTCAGGGTAGGAGGTGTTAGGTTTGTCACATTGCTTTGATTTCCAATACGAAGGAGCAGAAACGGAAAGCCAAGCATTTTGGAGATGTTGGAAGACAAGCCACGGTTTTGGCTTTGTCGGAATGAGACAGTGGGGTACGAGTCCCGCTCATACCCCCTAAGGCTGCTGCGTCGTAGGAACTCGGAATTACTTCGTCAGCCTCTTTTAGCATGTCTGATTTTCTCCCAACAACTGCTAGCCAATTTGGCTTAGATTCTAGTAGTCGGCCCAACTTGCTGGTATAGTCTGGCATCTCGCACTTCTCGGCGTACTGGATAAAGCCGCGTAAGTTTCATTTCTCTTTCCTACAGGTTTTTCTGAACAGAACACTATGTGAGGTGCGTTACGAATAATGACACTGAAAATAATTCGTACGTTTGCTTAAATGAAGTGCCGCATCAGCGACTCAGTCATCATTGGCACCTAACATACACAAAAGAAAGTCGGTCATTTCGCCAGTATTTGGTAGTCCAACGACTGTCGTGCCGCGGTATCCTTATTGGTGTAGAAGTTGTTACTTGCAGTGGCTGAGAAGATCAGTAAAGTCACGAGTATCTTCAGCCATCATGCCTCAACTTTTCGATCCTGCTATGCGCTTACTGCCACCTATCAGAGCGGAGTATTGATGCGCTTCCCTTACGCTTTCTTTATATATATATATATATATGTATCGTTAGATAGCTTAATGTCGGGCCCGCATGCAGAAAAGGGACTGCAATAAAGGAGCAGAGGGGGGCTGAAACAGGGCTTCGACAGCTAGGATGAGAGAAGAGCTCAGCTTCACCTTGTTCAGTGCATGATCTACGTTAAGCCAACAATTTGTGATGACCAGCCATACTCCTACACTTAACAATATCCATCGCGTATATAATGATTCTGATTGCCTCTGTCTACTTGATTCGTTCTATGTGTCCGATATCTCTGCAGCGGCATCATACTCGGTTAGACATGCACACACAGGATGATTCGACTGCCTGTTCCCGAATTTCCCATTGGTTGATACCCGACTACCGCCTCCTTTCTTATGTACTACTGTTCTTATGTGCTTCGCTCGGTACTGCGGTCTGACCTTGGTGGTACCAGAAAGAACGGAGTAGAGAGGAAGCGACGGAAGAGAAAGAAAAAGAAAAGCCAATGAAAAGGTACTCACTGTATAGCTTCGTATAAACATGTCCTCTTTACGCTGTTAGTCTTGGTGCTCGCTAAGCCGTGAGCATATCAAGGCACGCATACATCGTGCTCTGATCCAATGCTCCAGACTCATCTTTGCGTTACACTCCATCTTTCCTTCTCGCACAGCACGGCTGGGTATACAGCGAACTCCAGTATTAGTACGAGCCCTTGAGTTCTACTAGGATTGTAAGGCTCATTGTTTGCCTATTGTTATGGGGATCGCAAGTTCAGGAGGTCACGGCGACAGAGTAAACGAATAATGTCACTACAGAGGGCGGACAGGACTGAGCTGATCTGGCGTGGCAGATATGGATAGGTACCTCCTTGAGCCTTACTGGGCTATGGGCCGTAAGCTAACAAGGAGCAGGTTAGAGTAAATTTATGACGGTTGTCGTCATTCATGATGCATTACGAATACGTTCGTTTGCTCCCCTGCCTACTTTTTCTTTCTTCTAAGACGCATGATGTGTATCCTAGCTTGTTTAATCGACGATGAAAATAAAATAAACCGCAGAAACAGCAGGAGGCATTGAAACCTCTTTTCTATTTCACTGAGCAATCGTGGTCTCGTATCTTACCATAAAATGCTTCTTCGCAGCACTATGGTGGTGCAACAACGTCCACAATCGACTTAGTTACAAAGCATCGTGCAATGAATGTTTTGGCTTTCCAGGGTATTCTGACAGCCTCTCCATGCTATTTGAGCTAGCCAATGTCAACACTGGCTAGCCAGCTTGCATGAAGCTGTATTGAAAATATGAATACAAATATAGTTAGGACGGCGTCTTCCTCGAAGCAAGCGTATCGTATCGCATGGAAAACACAAGGGTGAAACCTCCTAGGTTCAGCCGAGATAGAGCTATCCAGTTTAGGAGAGTACTATGAAACAACGCTTCGATGCAACCAACGATGCGTATATTCATCGCCTGTTGCAGAAGCGAACGACTGCTCTGTCCCTAAGCGGGTGCGAGCGGCAGGCAATTGCCGGCGACCAAACCAGCCGACTAAGCAGGCAAGCAACAAAGATGCTTCCTATTTCTGTGGCCTTGCTCGAGAGACTTTCGGTAGAAAGCACACTCTCACATATAGACAATTGTGTACACTGAATAAGCGGACTCTCAGTGGTTGTACAAGCACTAGCAATTACGTTAGGCCGTAGGCCAACGCTAGAACATAGGCGCTGGCGCGATCATAAGAAGCACGACGAGAAGGCCTAGGAGGGCCGAGAAAAGTTGAGCGGCCGTGGCAGACGGGACGTTGGGGCTTGAGAGACAGACTATTGATTTGGCCTCGCTCTCTTCCTCAGCGGAGTGGGAGCAATTTCCTTCGGCAATCCCTTCCGGGGGCAAAGAGAGAGCGTGCAGACCAATAGGGATTTGCAGGGACACTGAGGGTCTGTAGCGGTTAGAAAGGCGGATGGAGGTATCCAAGCACTTGCTTATATGAGTCGATTCGTCGTTTCTGATAAGGGACTAGAGAACAAGCTATGATTAAGGGTAAGACTCTTTGGCATGTTTTTTTCTGTCTATTCTCATCTTTTTCGTCCTTTCTTATTTTCTTATGCTCAATTCCGCGCGGGTTTCTCTCTTGTGGCCGGGCTCCAACACTCGTAGATAATCGCCAAATCTCTCGGGAACCAAGGTACGGTTTAGCCGAGGACCGAAGCAGCCTGTCAATCCACGAGGCCCGTAAGGACGACGCCGGTTTATACACGTGTATAGCGAAAGGCTACGGAACGAAGAACGCCTCGAGAAGCGTAATGGTCACCGTCGTGTGTAAGTACACCTTTATATTCCCAAATAAATAATATATACATATTCTACACTATTCCTACACTAAGTTCATATTCATGAAACCATAATATCGAAAATGGCTTCATCCAGCTATATGCCTTTTCGTGTAGCCTTTGCTTGCCTAGGATAGACTATGTTATTGCTAATGATGGATCTAAAAATATTCCGATTTTAACCAGGATAAATAGCTTTTTCTATAGACCCGAATATGAATTTCGCTGCCTTCACAGTTCGCGCGGCAACAGCTATTCAGTCACTTTAGCAGCAACGAAGTTCGTTTTTATGCGGATTCTCTATAAGAAAATATACGAATGAAGTTGATTATGGCTTAATGGTATGAATAAAGAATAGTAGGTTGGGATCCCTATTTCCTAATAAATGATTATGATTTCTACATGGCTTGACACTATCGATATCGCATGTACGGTAATGCACGCACGTACCCAGCACGATTTTCTCTTATTTTAGATATATTTTATTGTAATTACACTGTAATTCAGGTATTACTCACTTCTCCCTTCCATACAAGTACACAACAAAAGACGAAAGAAAAATCAAGCATGTATGGTGGGTCGGCAATAATCAACATAAGGTCGCCCTTTTTATGTGACTCGAATACGAATATCCTTGTACTCCCCGTGTGGAATCTGTATGGAGGATATGGTGCTCCATGCTTGCCTTGCTCTGTAGTGAGTTTGTTGCGGACGGATATAAGATAGGATACGAGGATGGCCGAACGGGCGACGGAACTGGACAGGGGCAATATGGGCTTGCTTCGAAAACTAGCGGACTTTTCCAGGTTGAATGCCGGGACGGTTCCCTCAACACGAGCCAAGTCGTACTTAGATGATGTTGTAAGTAGCATTCAGCCCAGCAAGCCACTCGTCAGTGCCGCAGTTCAGGCACGTGCTCTAGTCCTTTCTTCTCATGCCTCACACCTAATGCATGATGGTTCATGCACAAATATTCTCGTAAAGTACCTATATATTTTATTTTTCAACATGCTTTTTTATCTGTGATTTTCGTCTTTTTCTCGCTCGGTTTGTCATATTCCTGTTTTCACACGCTGCGTTGGGATTTCCTTACAGCGGCGCCCCAAATATCGCCGATCCTGTTTTCGGACAAGATTCACGAGGGCATGCGGGCGATGGCATCGTGCAACATCATCGACGGTGACCCCCCAATGCGGGTATCGTGGTGGCGGAACGGGCAGCCCCTACGGGATGGCCAGGACCAAAACAATGTCCAACTGAGCAATCCGTCCGAATACTCGTCGTTTCTGACGATCAACAACGTCACCCGGGCATACACCGGCAACTATACGTGTGTCGCAAACAACAACGCTGCCGTTTCAAACTATACGGCCATGCTTCTCGTTAAAGGTTAGTTAGAGCTGTTGCTTCCAATACACCAATGGCGTTAGAGAACGAATCAGTAAGCGAGATGCGGTGACGCGTGTTCGTTGCTTTGAATGAAAACGTTATGCTAGCGTGCATTACAACACCATTTGTATCGTTGCTGTTTCAAAGAGGAACACGGACAGCATGAACGACACTGAAAAACTAAACAAATTTGGTTCTTATCGGTAACGACTAGCAAACGTTCCCCCGACAGAACGTATCTTTATATATTATAATTTCTGATTATTGACATTGAAGTGTCTAGAGTAATCTTTAATAGCCCAAGTACCGAACCTAAAATACGAAAAACATTTTCATAAGGTATTGATATACGGAGACCATTTGCTGAAAATTTTTATAGGGCCTATTTTTTAATAGATGCATTATCTATCTACTGATGATGTTATTTCCAAGTGGCTTAAATAGGCGTCAAGCAGTGAACAGTATCTAACCAAATACTGTTGCTTTGTGGCAATAAATTCATTTATGAACACAATAATACGAAAAAAATAATGTAGAAAAAAAAACAGTAAAAAGAAAATAAAAAAATAAATTTACTGTTCTATTTCTAAGTTCAACTGTCGGTTTGTGACCTTCTCTACGAAGACTATCTGCTAATAACACTTTATCGTAGTGGAAGTAAAACATATTCCTACCCATGAAACATCCATTTAGTTGTTTAAATGCTTAGTGAAATATCACCAATTTAAGTTAAGAATGCGTGAACTTAAATGAAAAATGTATAACAAGTATCATAGACATGTCTCTTTAACAGTAGGCTTCGTAGACACCGAAGCAACTAAGGTATTTGCCGTAAATTACGGAAAATATATCGCGAACCTGCGAGCAAAACTATCAGAAATGAGTCAAATCGGTTGGGCTCTTTTTGTCATAGTCGACGCGATAGTTAACGTAGTAGTCGGTCCGTTCTGCAAAATGGCCGAGACCGAGCAAATGGTGGAGTGGCCGAGCAACCCAGGAGCGATTGGCGAAGTTACGCGTTGTTGGGATTGTAACCTGACGAGTTTGTGTTTGCAAGACCCAAAGGTAAAGGCGGCCAACTAAGGCGCTTGTTTGGTGGACAAACAACAAGACACCGAGGAACGTTTACAATAACATTGTACCCAATGAACCCCTCTCTTCGCTGTTTAGGAACGGTTTTTCTATGTTGAACGGCTCTCATGCCATTCTAGTAACGGGGTTTTCCAAGACGTATTGCCCCCGACGAGTGGGGTTGTCCTGTGTACACTTCAACGTCTAAACCGCATCTTGACCGTCCATTTGGCCGATCGGAAGGAAATGCAAGGTTTGTGGCTTCATGGCCAGCGTGTAATGCATTGCGCACCTCTAAATAACTAACTCATTCCAATGTGATCTGCAGGTTGAGTGTATTGCTCGGGGGCTCGAGCTACCTGTCGAATGCGGCCGCGTTGCGCGGACATATGGCGTTGGTGGCGAAGCAGCAACCGCTCTTACACGGATCGATCGACCTTGACGACACCCTCTAAACACATATGGGCCTACACTACCTCAGATGAGCGAGGCGTGTGTTCTGCCCGTCTTGTAGTCCAGCTGCTTATAAGCGTGTGTGTGTATATGTGAGTGTTCCTATATTAGCGCGCAACGTTCTCCTATTAAAATATTGCTGTTTCTTGATTTGCAGCTCCTCCCCGGTGGAAGATAGCTCCGCGTGACATGTCAGCCATTATGTCCACTTCGATTACATTCGACTGCCAGGCGGAGGGTGAACCAGACCCCGTTGTCCGCTGGAAGTATGCCAAAGGTCTGTGTAATGAATGCAATAGCAGCAAGCGAAACAGAATTGAAATTGTTTGACTGTGTGTGCAATATACAATACCTTCTTTTGTTATAACACATTTATGCAAAGATCCTGCACAAAATTGCTTAGGTAGACCTTTTATAAACTAGCTTTTTTAGCCAAGAATATATATTTGTCTTTTAGAAAATACTTCATATAAAAATAAAAAACGCAAAAATATTTATATGATTCCACTCGATCGGAACTCCACATACAATGAAATACTGCTGAAAAATTCGTGTTTTTTCAGCTACACAAACTACCGAAAAATCTGAATATCTACGGGAGGCCATAGCCATGTACATACTATCATTTTAGCTTGCGTTTGGTTTCGATCCATGTCACAGACATGGCGAGCTGCATGGAACAGTACTTGTTCTGTGATAGTTCTTGCGCCCCGCGTTTACGTCTTTTTTATATCACCCTACCTTCTTTTAACGTGTGTGTGCGTGTTAATTGCTCTCATAACGTTCATTCCGCAGAAACCAGTGTAAAACAATGTGACGAAGGGTACTGTTGTTGTCTCAAACACTACCGAGGTTTTTACCCTCATCGTCTGCTACAGGCCTTGAAGGCCCTTTGCTAGAGAGGTATGCGCTCATCTCTTCGGATCATTTCGACAGTAGGTAGTCTTTCAAGCTCCCAGCGTAGTGTCCTTTACTTTTCCGTGAATTCAATCGTCCACTTTTTGAAGGTAGCAGTGGCGGCGACCAACCCCGGCAAAGTCCGGGTCGATAGTAGCAGCCAACTCAGCCACGAGACTGCGGGTGTTGCTACTTCTGCCGGTGCTGTCATGGTGATCAGTCTCATCGATTAGGGAACAAATAGACAGGCAAAGTGTCGGGCATGGAGTACAGCGAAGGCAGTCGTCGGACGAAATAACATAAAGTGTTTGAACGCCGACGTCCGGTGCTCTGGCCACTTCGCTAGCACACTAGTGCTGCTACCACTGGGTAACCAGTGAGCTAACGGGCGCAAGCGAGTAAAATGCTCTTGATTGGAGGTCTAGCGAAAACTGCCTTCCCCTACGTTCGTTTCAGTCTAGCTATCGTCCAGCGTCGGTTCCCATTCTCTTTTACTCCACATAGTTATTTCAGATTCAGTCTCTCCCGAACGTTTGCCAAAAGGAGGAACACTCCATTAAATTCTGTTTACCGAACGAACCTTCAGCTACAGCTTCGGCTATGGCGGCGGATCGCGATTCACAAGAAGTTCTAACGCAGGAGCAGCCGGAAAGGAAAGTACTACTAGTTCAACAGTTCTGCGTGGGTTTTTGTTTACGGACAATTCGTTGATGAGTTTCGAACATAGGTAACCCTTTGCAGTGAACTTCAGCCCCAGTGCTGACGATGCCATCGCTCTCCAGTGTCCAGCGACACCCCTTTCGCATTTCAATGGACTAACGAACGGCTAGAAGAGTTAATGCACTTCCTCTTAATACTCCGTCGATTTCATTCTTTTCCACAAAGCGATTGTTAACCTACGAAGAGAACATCTTCCTACTGAGAACATTTGCCCATCATCAGAAATTGCTGCCCGCTAGTAACACGGGTGCTGGATGATGATGCTGTTGCCGTGTGCTTTGTAAAAATGATTTACGAAATTCAGCTTATGGATGCAGCAGTATATGAGTGTGTAAGTCGATCACTTTGCATCCTAACCTTCCTCCGAAAAGAAATACGTTTGAGGAAAGGCAGTCTTGGGAGTGACTCGAGTCAGTCTAATAGTTCAAGGTAGCCGAGTGTATGAGATGTAAAGGATTCGGACTAAGGATCAGAGACGAGACCCTGAGAGGATGAGATCGACCATGGGAGGGCCTGATGGCCTCGATAAATTATTTCTCTACGGAAAAACCATTCGAAATAGCACTTTCGGGGGTTTTGAATGCGCGAAACCCAGCTATTTGTTGGAGTTACTGCTCGGGTTAGGTCCCCTCAATATTCACCTCCGGATCGGATCCGCCGCACTCCTCCACATTCAGTTATCTGTTGACGATACGGCAGACCTCAGGTGCTATCTGAGTCCGGCACGGTGAGCAGCTCCAGTAACGTTTGAAGGGTTTGGGCTAGAACTTTCACTAGCTTGTCTGTTGGGATGGCAAAGTCGGATGCAGTAGTAGCAGCAGTCGACCTATGCAGTTTCCTTTTCGCCTGTACAACCGGTGTTCCACTATCACCTAGTTTTGTGAGGCAAGCCGTCATGCAAACTTTTCCTGACAGATCAACCAATACAAGTTTAGGTTAGCGGCGATCAGTAGAGCAAACATCTGTCTGTAATGTATTATTACCAGAATCTATTTTCTTTTCGTCCGCAAAAATTGTAGCAGGGTTTTTGGAGAAGGGACTTCTTGTTAGTGTTCACTTCCTATCTCAGAAGCGTGATGTGGAGCAGACCGCGTACGTTCAGCTACTTGCTATAGGCTATTCAAATTATGTAGGAAGTAGTCATTGCCAAGAGTCTAGCCTGCTCAGAACAGGGCCAGCCAACCAAATAGGCATCGGTCAAAGTGTTGTCTCGTTGGATAGGAAAGCAGTTGGGCTCCCTGATTCGGGTGATGCCACGTTGTCTATAGACGAATCGCGTCTGCTCACGCAAACCATATTGCCTCTGGACATAGGCCATGTTTCTTTGTCTGCATAAAAGAAAAAGGGACACCGACCCTTGTCTCTGTGTTAGTGTCTCTATCTGGCAGGAATTTTTGACGAAAATATAGCAGACGATTATGCCTAATGTTGGTGAATACGGCGCGATTAGCATGGCTGATACTGATTAGATACAAACACGTAATATGCAAGGTCGTGTACTAGATTTGAATGCAACGTTTTACCCTTACTTAATTAGACACGGTTTTTAGCAACCGAAAATGCTGTTAAGGTTTTCCTGTCTCTGCAGATTGTATCGGGCCCCCACATAGGGCGCAGTGCATACCCGTATCTTTCTGCGTGACCTCACTACAATCTATTCTCATCACTAGGCGTTCTCTGACAGCGACAGCCATCACACTACCTAAGGCGTCGAAGCCACTCGTTTCAAATAGAAACTCAAATTAACCACGTGGATGGGTAAAACATCCTCACTGAAAACAATGCTGGGAGGAACAGCTCCAAATCACGCCGCTCGAGCATCCTTAAGTTAAAATTATGGCGTCCCGAGAGTCAGGCATATTGGGCCTTAATTTAGCTGCTTTGCCAGTTGTTGTTACCGTTTTTCATATAAACTCTGATTGGATTTAGAGTTACAAACACGAAGAGTCAAAGAAATAGCTCTACAGCATTGGATCGATATTGGAAGAAAATGTGTTGAAGATGTTAGCAGTGCCTAAGCTTATTGTGGACACGTAGCTGTACCGGCAAATGTTTAGAGGGGTAGTTCGATCTCTAAAATGAACTAGCAAACTGGCTTGCATTCTGTTTTGAGAACCCATACCTGCCCTGATGCATGTCCTGCAGTGCATACATTCGGGTCTGATATATGCTGTGATGGTACACGTTTTCAAAAAGCGCCAGCCAAACAGAACTGTTGGTCGCTTATCCTAGCCTATAGCCCATCTGACCGTTAGTCGTTGCTAATCTGACCGGTATTCCCACGCGCTCTATTTCTGTGCCGATATATTCCGACTGTGCCAGCTGGGACCATATTGCATTGCCGCATCCCCTTCCAACCACCTCAAATACTACAGCCATACAACCAGCTCTTCGCATCGACGAGCTAGTGCTGCTGATGAGCGAGCGTTTGGGAGCGTGCCAACGGAACCAGCCGACGGGTTTAAAACTCTCCAGTTGAAATCCCTTATTACCCATTTATAGCTACTTTTCTCCAGCTCTATTCTTTCAGGCTGACCCTCCTATGTGCCTCCTCCTCTTTACCCCTGTCCCATCTCATATTAGTCCCATAACAATTTTGCTTACCATTTCCCAAAGCCCCTAACATAATTCTCGTTCCTGATAAACATCTTGCATGCGGTCTTTCCATCCCTTGCTTATACACCACATGCCGCTATAAGCTTCTATACCTTTGTTGCAGATGAGGCTATTTCAGAGAAAAGTGAAAAGGAAAAATGAGGGTAGACACATTCAACGGAGCTTCATGAGTTTCACTAGAAAGGGTTTAAAAGCAGCGTGTTTTGAAGAGAGAGACTTTTGCAGTGCTCTGGCTCCGCTGGAGCTGTCCTTTTCAGCATTATGAGAGCTCCCAGCGACAACTACGGCACCTGTCATTGCTGCCAACGACGTCTCGGCCATCCACGTTTAAACCACCGATCGCGTGGATGATAGAACAGGGTTGTCGGTGCCGATTTGCTTTATTTCATTGGATAAACACGATTCTATGAAAAGGCCGGGAAGAAATGTTCAAGGGCTGCAGAAACGAGGCATGTTTAATAATGAAGTGTTCCCAAGTTACCGACAGACTGCCGCCCGTTGCATGGATTCGTTTGCTGTGGGAGCGGTGACCGTGGCCACGCAAGTTTTGAGTGTCGGTTTGTCTGAGCCACCAATCGATCAAGTTTTCTGTCTTCCTTTCACAGCTCCTTCCTTCCTTCCTTCGGTCTCTCGTGGCCTTTTTTCTTTGAAACTACTGTATCGATATTTTGCGTGTTGCCCTCTTTCTGTGTTATGACGTATTGTACATAGCGGCCTATCCGACATACCGCGGCGCCACTAGAGTCGACAGCGTCGTGCATCGCGGAACTAGTGACTATAGACTTCCGCCATTACTCGGCCTTCGATAGAAGCGAAGATAAAAGAGTGAGAAGGAGTAGAGGGAAAACGACCACAGAAAGGATAGGCTAACGGCAAAGCTGTACGAACTCAATTTAAAGGCAGACCCTACTGACAGAGGTGATGCCGGCGTCTCCACTAGAAAAGCCGTACATTTATTTTTTAAGTTTCTTCTTGCAAAGATCTGTGCTCCTACCGCGTTACGTTTCTTACAAACGAAAATCCGAAAACCAGTCATTGTTCCTC